CTGGTTTCGTGGGTTTTGTTTAGCTTCTATATTTGTTACATAGTTGCTTAGAGTTGCAGCTCAGAGGCTTGCAGTGGCAGGCGGGGAATGTTGGAGTCCTCCGTCACTGAAGCAATCAAACCTCATGTTAGTTTCAAGCTGCCTGGCTGCCGGTCTCCATCTTGGCTGGCAGTTAATTTGCATATCGCCCTGATTAGCCAATGGGAAGGGTGGCGGTCGTATGCCAATTACCATGTTTCTCTTTTATTAGATAGGATGGGTAAGAGAAGAGAGCTGACAGTGTAAACTAGAAGTATATTTTGGTAATTTTAACTAATTGTCATTTTACCTTGTGACACTGAACTGCAGCACTTTTTTTCTCCTCCAGTGCCCCTGAGGGACTTCAGTGGTTCCCAGGAGGGACTCACAAAGACAGTGACAAATAGCAAATACTGAAGAAGAGAAAATAGACTACCCAGAAAATAGCCTCCGTTGTACTACACTGAATACATATACACATATCAAGATATCAGTATATTGGGTTACTTAAGGCCTGAATGAGAATTGGGCAACTGATAAAGTGAGAACAGTAGTTGCTGATTCGGAGTTTAGTGGATAGGGGTGCTTTGCTTTATTGAGGCAAGGTTCCTATCACAGACTTGGGAATTGTTGCAGGAGAGCTTCAGTGATAACATCTGACAGTGCTCTCCAACTCAAACACAAGTTTAAAGAAGAAACTGCCTGAGAGAAATTCCAACTTTGAAACGGCTTCCATTTGTTCCCAGGAAAGATCCTGTTGGAGGCTGTTTCTGTGAATCAAAGGAGAAGGGACAGGTGTGAGCATGTCGGCCCTCAACTGGAAGCCCTTCGTGTATGGAGGGCTGGCCTCCATCACAGCTGAATGCGGTAAGGAGCCAGGGGCTGGAGTCAGTCAATTCACCTGCCGTATGTGATAGTGATTTTAAAACCTAAGGTCGCAATTGGTGTTTGATCTGAATATAGTTCAAGCATAGAATATGGGGTTATGACTATTAATCTCAGAATTCAAAATGTCCTACTTCGGGTAAGCTTTTTTAGACAAATAGTCATTTGGCAACTTACTGGCAGTTTAGAGTTCAAAGTTTAGTGGGGAGAAAGTTAAACTGTTGAACAAATAAGTTTTATGAATCATTTTTGAATTACACCAGCCCCTATTTTCCTTGTATGTTCCTTACTTTGCCCCCACCCTTAACACATTTGGCTGTAAAGAAGTTTGAGGAGCGCCTGGCTGGTGTGGTTTGGTGGTTGAGCGTCGAACTATGAACCAGGAGATCATAGTTCAATTCCTGGTCAGGGCACATGCCCAGGTTGTGGGCTTGGTCCCCCGTGGGGCCTTTAGGAGGCAGCCAATTGATGATTCTCTCTCATCATTGCTGTCTGTCTCTCTCTCTCTCTCTCTCTCTCTCTCTCTCTCTCTCTCTCTCTCTCTCTCTCTCTCTCTCTCTCTCTCTCTCTCTCTCTCTCTCTCTCTCTCTCTCTCTCTCTCTCTCTCTCTCTCCCTCTCCTTTCCTCCCTCCTTCCCTCCCTCCCCCCTTTCTCCCTTCCTCTCTTAAATCAATAAAGACATATTAAAAAGAAAAAGAGGAGTTTGAGGAGCTCCAAGGCCTTCCCGAGCCAGATTCGATTTCCTGTCGTCATGCCATCACTTTCTGAATATGCACATGATCCAGATCCTATTTGTGACTTCTTCACATTAGTTGAGTTCCACAGCAGGGCCTGTTTGTTCCTGTGTTTATTCCCTGGAATCATTCAATCAACAAATTTTTTTTATTTGGGTGGGGGAGGGGTGCCGTCTGGTAAAAGCCGGAAGACCTGCTGGACAAATTCTAAAAGAGCTGTAAGCACTCAATCAACAAATATTGATTGAACAGCTGCTGAGTGCCAGGTGCTGGGCTGGACACTTCATTTGCTTCCAGGGCTCAGTCACTGCTGTTCTGGTATGAAGGCTGCCCCTGAGGGGCCAGTGAGGACCAGTGCCCAGGGGTTGAGGTGCATTAACCCCTACCCATGCTGCTCATGCTGGTGGGCTCTCCCATTGACATAATACATCACATTTACTGAGTAGGAGTCTCACATGTTTGGGTGAACTATCTGTTAGGCATTATATTAAACTTTTTACTCTAACAGATTTACTTTTAGACTATAGAACATAGAGTGAGGAACCTGAAGTCTAGGTATGTGCCCTGACTGGGAATCACACCTGCAACTTTTTTGGTGTACAGAATGATGCTCAACCAACTGAGCCACCCGGACAGCCAAAGTAACTTATATTTAAAAATGGATTTCTTGGTTATCTAAAGCATTCCATCTATCTACTTTTTAGCAATGTAGTTTCCTCAGATTCTATGTAGAATAAGATAGAACATAAATAAAAATGTTAAAAGAGGAAAATATATGTCTTTAAAAAAAAATCGTTTGGTTCCCATTTTTTAATAGGAAAAAGATTGCAAAGTATCTGTTTCTATTTTTTTGTTGTTTCTTAAAAAAATATATTTTATTGGTTTTTTACAGAGAGGAAAGGAGAAGGATAGAGAGTTAGAAACATCAATGAGAGAGAAACATCGATCAGCTGCCTCCTGCACACTTCTCACTGGGGATGTGCCCGCAACCAAGGTACTTGCCCTTGACTGGAATCGAACCTGGGACCATTGAGTCTGCAGGCCGACGCTCTATCCACTGAGCCAAACCCGTCAGGGCTGTTTCTGTTTTAGTTTATATCATAGTCTAAATGTCTCTTTAGTAAAATGTCACTATGCATCCTTTACTTAGTGGACTTTCTTTTAATTAAGTGAAAATATTTCTTTCTTTAAAATTTTAAGGTACATTTCCAATTGATTTAACCAAGACACGGCTCCAGATTCAAGGCCAGACGAATGATGCAAACTTTAAAGAAATTCGGTATCGAGGAATGTTGCATGCATTAGTGAGGATAGGCAGAGAAGAAGGCCTGAAAGCTTTGTATTCTGGGTAAGTGACCTTTGTATGTTTATATTCTACTGCTGACCTTTCAAATGAAACTTTTTCATACTAAGACCTCATAGAGAAAAAGTAAAAGTTTGAGGTGTATTTTTAAAAAGCAAGTAACATGGTAGGTTTTTCATTTCTAATGTCAACTAGAGAAAGTTGTGGTGAAACTATGTTTTTATTATACTAAAATATAGATAATCTAAAATTACATTTGTTATTAAAAAAAATCCTGTAATTTAGTTTTTTACTCTGAAAATAGCCCTTTCCCATGGCTATTATGAATTACCAAGATTTTTGCCATAATGAAAATGGTATCATATTTCCATGGGAAAG